CACTGCAAACCAAAGAAACGCCGGCTCTTCTAATAGAGGTTTTACAGTAACCCAGATTTGAAAATAATTGATTCAAAAATACAAAGCAATCATTTTTGTTCTCTAATAAACTACAACGAAACAACTTGTAATCTCTATTGATCATTCTTATCATAGAATTCATAAACTCCACTCTTCTGAAACAGAGATTCTGCAAAAAGTACAAATGTCCGAACATTGAGTTTTGTAAAAATGAACTGTAACTAAAGTGGATTCCGGTTCATCTGCTTTCCTGAACCGATTAGGACTCAACTGATAAGCATATAGCAAACCGAAGAGCAGAATAAAATAAGAAGAGTCGAAAGTTTGAAAAACAGCAGGTTTGGTATAAAAAGGGGAAAAATACATCTCTTTGATCAAGCATGATGGTGACAACCATGATGGTGAGTAAACTTTTTGAACAAATTTTAGATTTTTCATATTCAGAAGATTCTTGTTCTGGCCGTACTGCTAGAAGCCACTTCTGCATTCGTCCCAATCAATCCAGAAACTCTCACCGGACAAGCTCTCGTTAACTATGTCAATTCTGCCCAATCCATGTTCACCGCTGAATATTCCAACAAAAAATTTACAGTTTTTAACGTTTAAAGACCATATTTGCATGACTTTCCATGCTTTTTTTCAAGCCAGTTTCAGTTTAATGTTTTCGTTGTTTTTCTAATTTTTTTTCCGTTTCCGCTGTAAAAAATGGCGGTTTTACGGAAAACGGAAACGGAAACGGGAATTTTTTTTCCGCGGAAACGGAAATGGAAAAAAAATCTCTAAAACCCGGGCGGAAAACTGAAAACGGAAACGGAAAGTCCTCCACCACTGATGCTGACCTAGAAAACTCAATTTGCAAAAGTTCGGTCACCATGTAAAAATGGCCTAGAAAACACATTAGGCGCAAGTAAGAGCATTTCTGAACCATGAAAGTTGGTGGCCTAGAGAAAGTATGTTGAGAAAGTTAGGCCACTCCATTCCTCACATAAAAAATTAGGCTCCGGGTCACTTCGAAACCGCGACGTTTCGAAACTGGTCATTTCGAAATTGCGCGACACTTCGAAACCAGTTATTTCGAAACCATCCACTGCAAACCAAAGAAACGCCGGCTCTTCTAATAGAGGTTTTACAGTAACCCAGATTTGAAAAGAATTGATTCAAAAATACAAAGCAATCATTTTTGTTCTCTACTACTACAACGAAACAACTTGTAATCTCTATTGATCATTCTTATCATAGAATTCATAAACTCCACTCTTCTGAAACAGAGATTCTGCAAAAAGTACAAATGTCCGAACATTGAGTTTTGTAAAAATGAACTGTAACTAAAGTGGATTCCGGTTCATCTGCTTTCCTGAACCGATTAGGACTCAACTGATAAGCATATAGCAAACCGAAGAGCAGAATAAAATAAGAAGAGTCGAAAGTTTGAAAAACAGCAGGTTTGGTATAAAAAGGGGAAAAATACATCTCTTTGATCAAGCATGATGGTGACAACCATGATGGTGAGTAAACTTTTTGAACAAATTTTAGATTTTTCATATTCAGAAGATTCTTGTTCTGGCCGTACTGCTAGAAGCCACTTCTGCATTCGTCCCAATCACCGGACAAGCTCTCGTTAACTATGTCAATTATGCCCAATCCATGTTCACCGCTGAATATTCCAACGTCACCGAGGAATTCAAGAAGTTCCGTGTGATGGATGTCAAATACGCAGCTCCACACTCCCCCGAGCTCCGTGCTAGCCAAGTCAACACAGTCCTTCCTTCCATCCCAACCTACTTCGACGCTCGTACCCGTTGGCCTAACTGCAGATCCATCAAAATGATTCGAAATCAAGCAACA